GAAAATAGAAAATTGGAAAAAAACGCCGGACAAGGTTCTCAAAGTAAGCACCTTTAAAATATGTCCACCGATCCTGCCTTAAACTCCCGAGATCTTTCTTTGAGCCGCTGACATGGTGAGTTTTTCGCGGCTCCCATGCCTGAAGCGTTTTCGGGCAGAGAAAGAGATAACAATTGTCATTCTGAAGGCAGAGCTGGAATCAAGATGTGTTGTTCAGTTTTCACCCTGCGTCATTAAAAAACATGAACGTTCTCCGACCAGAGCCAGCCATGGGTAAGGTCTAGTTAGCATTTAGTGTGTCACCACGGATAATCAAGAAACAGCCTCCGTCTCACATGTGAAGAGGGATTGAAGTGACAGGACTGAAGGGACTTTTGCTATGATTATGAATATTCAAAGGGTTTCTGACTTACAAAGTATACGTTTGGAAAAGTGTGGTATATACATGTCATTTATTTGCTCTCTCTCTGTCTGGAATAAAACTTCTGGCTGTGTTTGTGAGAGTTTGTGAGAGTTTAGGGTCTGTGTGTGTCTTGTCTCGAGAGAGATTGGATTATTTTAGGCATAACTCCATCCCAACCCCAAACTAATATTTAATTTGTGAATGCAGATATGAGCCAAATATAAGAAAGTCTAGATTTTCTCTTAATCAAATAGTTTTTTGAAGAGCCAGATATTTTAGTGCCATACAAATAAAGATTTACGCATTTAAACTGAACTCTTCAAATTTGCATGTTTGAAAAAAATACCAAATAGATAAAGTCATTTAAATCATTCAGAAAATGTACCAACAGGTGAAACAGACATAGTAAAGAATCTGGGCTTAAAACACACTAACTTTATATCATACTCATTACAGCTACTGGTTTCCACAGTATGTGAAAAAATACTGGTCAGTCATGAACAATATTATACTGTGAAACTTTGAAAATGAGTTAAAAAGTCTAATTATTTCCGTCATGAATAACCCTTGTCATGATACAGACTCATTACAGGCAAAGTTACTTATGCCAAGGCTTTTTTATGATTCTACAAGTACAAAAGTAAACTGACTTTATTGGAAAAAGATTAGTATTTTGAGTGTCGCCTGTATGTGGTTGAACTTACCCAGTGGTTGGGCATGTGTATAGTTTCACTGTCTTTGAGTAAATTAAATATTTTATCTAATTTCATTGATATGGAGCTTGATATGGATCAAACGTGCGCAAAACGTTATTCTCCATCAAACAGAAATATTTATAAATTATCTGTAATCGGCCTCTTATTATTGTAGCTGTCATGGTTGTCATTTTTATTAGTTCCTGTTTTATTTTGTAGTTGTCTCGGTTCTTGTCTTCGTCTTCAGTTCCTGCGTTTTGTTTTTTGGATTCTTGTTTTTTAAAATTATATTAGTTTTGCAGTATTTCATTTTGGGTCCATGCTCCTTTCCACCACGTAACAGTAACAGTAGCACCCTATAACACGTGTCATGTCCATATCAAATACCTAAATAAAAAAAAAAACTACAGTTGACTTTATCCATGATTGAACCAAGTCTTGGACCAACTTTAGCTTCTAACTCTGAAAATAAAGCTCCCATAACATATCAAAACACTTCTACCGTAATGTTTTCATAGTGTGTAGATGCTTGTTTTTCTTGAGTCTCATTTGTAAAGACGTCATCTGCCCGCGCTGTAAATTACCATGATATATTCCACCATTTCATCCTGGAGGGCAGCTCTGTGGCTCCATTTCAATTAGCACACTTGTGATTGGAGAGGTAGAACTCAGACGATTGATCAAGTCTCTCCTCTTTCCTTGCCTCATCGCCCAAAAGACCCTGTTAAAATATTCAGGTGGAAAATGAATGGTTACACCCTCATCTATTTATATCTCTTTTATTGACAGTATTACATTTATATAGAGTCAAGGTGAAGGATTTAATTTAAGACCCATGCTCAGAATACTTAGAGAAAGACTGATTAAGGAGCAGTGATTTATATGACTAACTTCTCCGGCTCCGTGTTTTATGGTGCGGTGTTAAACAGCAGCCAAACTATGTTCAGGAGCCACAATGTTAGCTCTTAGCTCTATTATTAACACATCTTTATCTGCACGTGTCCTCAAAGTGATCATATTTTATAAGCTGCTTAAAATTCTCCCCCTATTATTTCTGCCTTGCTAAGACCGCATTAAAATACTTGAGGTGAAGCTAAAATGCTACAGGCCATTCAGGCGTTTAGCGGTCAGAGAGGTCTCAAGATTTGGTTTGTAATCGTTCTATAATATAATATTGAAAAAATAATAGCAAATTGGAAAATTAAAAAGATTATGATCGGGGGAATTACACTTGTTGTTTGTGTGGATGGGTGTGTTTCTGCTGCTGGACACCGGAATTTCTCCTGTGGGGGATCAATAAAATATTGTCTATTGTCTATCTATCTATCTATCTGTCTATTGTCTATAACTATCTATCTATCTATTATCTATATCTATATTTGTCTATTATCTACTGTATATCCATCTATGCATCTATCTGTCTATTGCCTATCTATCAATTATTCAATCTTTCTACAGTATCTCTCTCTCTCTCTCTCTCTCTCTCTCTCTCTCTCTCTCTCTCTCTCTATGTAATGGCACGGTGGCTGAGTGGGTATTAGGAAGCAAGAAGATGGTGTGTTTGATCCCGTGTCGGCCTGAGACTTTCTGTCTGGAGTTTGCGTGTGTCTCCCCCCTCCAGAACGTGCACCCAAAGGTTAAAGCCTCCTGACCGAGAGCATCAGCCTCTGGAGGAGGGTCCTGAGTGCTGCACTGCAGTGACCACTGCCCCTGACAGGTCGCCCTCGAGACACTGCAGGTCGGATCAAATTCAGAAGACACAGTTCCCTACAGCAAGTACTTTTACATTAATTAAGTAGTTGTTTATACAAATAGTCAATCAAACAAACACATGGATATTCAAATAAGCTACAGGAACAAACTTGTATGAACAAGTTTGCTGTCCAAACGTTACTTTGCATAGAAAATGGCAGATATATTTGTACTTGTTTTCCCAATCAAGTGTGTCCCAACTTTATAGTAAGAATGTTTTAACTGGTTCTGAGCTTCTAAACTGCAGTATACCATGGTCATATTGACTGAAGTCGGCTGAAGACTAATATTCACCATCTCACATCTGGACATTAGTGCCATATTCAGTATCTTGTGACAATCAAAAACATACATCAGCATATGCAAATAAAGTAAGCTTCCCGATTTCAGAGGTTCTGAACTCTACAAGTAAGTAAGTAAGTTTTTATTTATATACCGCCTTTTCACTGCAGATCTGAGTCTCAAAGCGGTTTACAATTGTTAATTTTGGGCATTTTTCTCTCACTCCACACAGAGATGGGAGCGGGGTCGCCAGTACAGGAGGCATATGCCAGAACTATTGGACATATTTTTAGTGGTAGGGGAAACCGGAGTACCCGGAGGAAACCTACGCAGACACGGGGAGAACATGCAAACTCAGAAAGGCCCTGGTCCGACCGGGATTCGAACCCAGGATCTTCTTGCTGAGAGGCGAGAGTGCTATCCACTCAGCCACCGTGCCGCCCACAACGAGCTACAGCATGCATATATTGATGAAGCTGAAGTTGCCTGGATGACACTGTGACCTTTTGTTTATGATCTCAAGCCTTACTTTGTGTTAACAAGGCAGAGTGCCTCAATAAGATGAGATATTCCTTTATTCGTCCCACAGTGGGGAATATTCAGTGGCATCGTTGCACAATCAGGTAGATTTTAGTTTCAAGTAAATTTAGTGAGTCAAAAAGTGATCCACCAAATGTTTGAGGAAAACACTAAACTAATATAAAATGAATAACTGTCTCAGGTCTGAAGAACAGTTGAAAGCGGCCTGGTGGTGGTCTACATGTAGATAGAAGAAGCTGGACAGGTTTAATGTCCTGCTGTGTGACATCAGGCAAACATCTCCAAAGAGACAAGCAGACTCGAAGTTGCAGTAGTAAACACAAAGATCAGCCCTGGAGCCACCGCAGCCCTCTCCGCCCCTCTGTCCAGCACATGTCCTGCCCGCACCTCTGCCCGCACCTCTGCCCGCACCCCTGTCCACACAGCAGCTACAGCCTGCCTGAGCGACTAATAATTGTGGTGTTACCTTGTTAGAGAAACTCAAAGCTTCTCGTGCTCCTCTGATGCCACTCACTGTCAGCTTGGATTTGAGGGAGGCCTGATGCCTTCCTTCTCGGGCGGGACACATGAAAGAGCGCGTGCGTGTATGATGGACAGGCAGCTTTTTAAAGAGAGCAGCATCAGAGGGTGAGTGAGGGTGAGTGAGGGGAGGGGATCCGAATCAGGACCGCTGTGATGTGACAAGACAGACAGGAACATCCTTCTCAGCGTGTCGGCGTGTCAGGCACAGGGAGTCTTAGCGGAGCCGACAGGATCATCACTCTTCACTGACGGAGCTTTGAGGAGGAGGAGGAGACACCAGACTTTGTGGTCTCAATATACTGCATAAGGATGTGCTTTTGTTTTTTAATGAACGGTTCATGGGTAAAGGACGGGACTGGGAGGACGGTGATGTCGTTCTGCTCTTAACTAGTTCAGAGACGCTGCAGAGTCGCCTCCGTGGAGAAATCAACAGTGTTTAATGTATGCATTTTGAGCGGACTAGAAATACATTTGTAAATATATAATGACATTGTAATTATACCAACACATGGTGAAACTTTGACAAAAACTGTTGCTTGATTAGATATTGATGTGTTTATATTTGTGTGTTTTATCATTTGAATGAAACGATCCATGTGCAGATCCAAAAATACAAGTAATTTAAAAAAAAAAAAACAACAAAACATGGAGAACAAAAAATGAAAACTATGGGAAGTCGGGTCCTCCACCGCAGTCGAGGAACAAACTGGCAGTGGCTCAGTGCATTTCCATCATTGAAATATTCTTTCCAAATGGCCTGATAGGAGACAGGTGAGCTCTCCTCAGCAGGCACCAGCTCACCTGCAATGGAGGAGGAGACTCACAGACACACAAGGGGAGGAGGAGGCACAGGAGGAAGGAGGAGGCACAGGAGGGAGGAGGAGGCACAGGAGGAAGGAGGAGGCACAGGAGGAAGGAGGAGGCACAGGAGGAAGGAGGAGGCACAGGAGGAAGGAGGAGGCACAGGAGGAAGGAGGAGGCACAGGAGGAAGGAGGAGGCACAGGAGGAAGGAGGAGGCACAGGAGGGAGGAGGAGGCACAGGATCTAGTCCCTCGCCTTTGCTTAACTACCAGCAGTAAGATTTGTGGATGGGAACAGTTCAACCAATGGGAACAGGGCTCTTCTATTAATGAAATATTTGCATGACTTTAGTGGCCCTGGGTGAGAATGGGCAGATTTGCATTTACAAACTCTCTCTCTCGACATTTGGACATTCACTTTGATTGGATTGTGAGTCATGAAAGCTTGTTTGGACTTGGTTTATGTGTAACCTCAATGTCCAGACACCTTTTTGAACTATAGAAATCATACATTTATAGCTTTATTAGTAAATAAGCAAAATAAAAAACATTATTTGGAAAAACCCCAAATCACAACAGCAGAGCTGTTGAGTTCCCACAGCAGATTAGAAAATCAAACATATTATATAATGTTTATAAATGTCCTGGATCATCCCCTGTCCTTAGTCTCTCCTGCATTGACAAGACTTGTTTTAGACTGTTTATTCATTCATTCATTTTCTACCCCTTTATTATTCCATTTCTGGGTCAGGGGGGTGACAGTCAGAGCTGCACCCAATGCTCATAGCACCCATCCCTCGCTGATCCTCTGCTTAACGTTACCAACCTCAGATGGTTTGAAATGGCAAATTATGTTCGTAAGAAACAAAAATGACAAAATTGTGATTGAGTGAACATGTTCAGGACTAATTTCCAGTGCTAATTTTGATTGACAGCCTACTGGGTGTTCTTTTGTATGGGATTTTTTTCCCGAACGTCTACCCTGCTATTTTTACCTTTTGTGCTAATTCGTTTCATTTGCCGTGTCAATGCTGCGCAGAGAGAGGCTTTACAATGTACATTACATACATTACCCATTTGATCTGCATTCTTTTCATTTTGATGTGGAAACTAAACCTAAACTGACATCTTGATACATTTAACACCAAGACTCCCAGAAGTATGAAAAAAGCAGAACTAAACTTTTTAGTTTTTTGCTATTTTATTAAAAGTAAGTTATTTATCATGGGATTACCTTTACTCAGTGCTAAAACCAGATAATATAAGTAGAAATAAATAATTCAAGCCAATGATAGTGAACAATGTGTTGCTATGGTAATCAACACTCGCTCTTCTCTGGTGGAAAACCAAGCTGAACTAGAACCAGTCCAGGACCAGGACTCGAACTGCCAGAAAAAAAGAACCCAAAAAGACCAAATGTTAGCCTGGTTAAAGGTAGAACTACTTACATTTAAAAAAAAAATATAATTTGTTAAAAAAACAAAACAATGACATAAGAATAAACACCATATTGATACATAAAAAGCCACAAAGCTACGAGGACCAAAAAGGTTCATAATTATACTCGCAAAACTAAAACCCGTCATATCGACTGCTATGGGAGTTCTTGTGTTCAGTAATTTAGAGGTGATTCTCTTATTTTCCAATATAAATCCTTGTGACAATAGATGACAATCCCGGCCTTACCTGACATTCTAGAGACGTCCGTATCTGAGAATAGATCTGCATAAATTTACACTTTTCTATTTTTTTTCTCTTTTTTTTAACAGGAACCCACTTTTATCCGCTTGCTAATTAGCCTCTGACCTCCCTGGGTTCACACGGGCGTGAAGAATCGAAAGGACAGAGATGCTTAAAGAGATATTTCTAGGTCGGGAAAAAAAAAAAGTCCCTATCAGATGCAAACCTTGAGGACGCAGCTTCCAAATGTGTGACTTTATTTTGAGCGTCTTGTGGCGATAGCACCGTCGCGGCCAAAGCGTGGATCTAGCTCTGGCCATCGTGCCAACTCCATTTTGCAGAGGTTTTTTTTTACAGCGCGCCCCTTGACTTTGCCATGTGTGAAGAATGAGTCCGACGCCAGTGATGGGCAGTAATTCCCCAGCCTATGTGAGCCAGTGATCAGAATTCATATTAGCCTCTTTATGCGCTGATGGCAGCCTGTCACTCCAGGTGGCAAGCGGTCTCCTCGGATGGCTTCCCGTCAGTCAAAGAGGAGAGAGAGAGGCAGGGTTGAAATTCTAACACGCAGTTTTAGTGGATTTTGACTGCAATGGGAATAGGTTAATTGCTGTGTTTCTTTGCATTTCTGTCTGCGCTTACAGAAGTCAATCATAACAATGACAGTGACAGGTGAAAGAAACACAGCTTATCATGGCTCCTGTTTATGCATGCGGCTTCTGTATGTTTGCCATCACATTGACTGTATTCTGCCGGTAAACTATTGTAGTTTATTGTCTCTGTAGGGAAATGTGTGCTCTGCATTTGACCCGTCCTGCATCGCCACTAGACTAACCTGTCACCACTAATGTCTGTAGTTTGTTCATTGCTGTTCACCTGCTGTCCTATTGTCTGTTTCGTGGTGTGATCTTGCGACCCCTAAATCTCTTTCATCGGCAGCTGTGGACTAGTCTCCCCCGGCCTGGACTCTGCACCGACTCAGTCCTGGATCTACAGCCTCAGCCCCGGGTCTACAGCCTCAGTCCTGGATCTACAGCCTCAGTCTTGGATCTTCAGACTCAGTCCTGGATCTACAGCCTCAGTCCTGGATCTACAGACTCAGTCCTGGATCTACAGCCTCAGTCCTGGATCTACAGCCTCAGTCCTGGATCTACAGACTCAGCCCCGGGTCTACAGCCTCAGTCCTGGATCTACAGCCTCAGTCTTGGATCTACAGACTCAGTCCTGGATCTACAGCCTCAGTCCTGGATCTACAGACTCAGTCCTGGATCTACAGCCTCAGTCCTGGATCTACAGCCTCAGTCCTGGATCTACAGCCTCAGTCCTGGATCTACAGCCTCAGTCCTGGATCTACAGACTCAGTCCTTGTTCTACAGCCTCAGTCCTGGATCTACAGCCTCAGTCCTGGATCTACAGCCTCAGTCCTGGATCTACAGCCTCAGTCCTGGATCTACAGCCTCAGTCTTGGATCTACAGACTCAGTCCTGGATCTACAGCCTCAGTCCTGGATCTACAGCCTCAGTCCTGGATCTACAGCCTCAGTCCTCAGTCCTGGATCTACAGCCTCAGTCCTGGATCTACAGCCTCAGTCCTGGATCTACAGCCTCAGTCCTGGATCTACAGCCTCAGTCCTGGATCTACAGACTCAGTCCTGGGTCTACAGCCTCAGTCCTGGATCTACAGCCTCAGTCCTGGCTCTACAGCCTCAGTCCTGGATCTACAGACTCAGTCCTGGATCTACAGCCTCAGTCCTGGATCTACAGACTCAGTCCTGGGTCTACAGCCTCAGTCCTGGGTCTACAGCCTCAGTCCTGGCTCTACAGCCTCAGTCCTGGATCTACAGCCTCAGTCCTGGATCTACAGACTCAGTCCTGGGTCTACAGCCTCAGTCCTGGATCTACAGCCTCAGTCCTGGCTCTACAGCCTCAGTCCTGGATCTACAGACTGTCCGTCCGTGGGAGTGAATATGTCTCTCAATGTGAGCTTCCATGAGGTTTCTCACTTTTTCCCCCTCACTAGGTAATTTTTGCCGATAAAGGAGACATTGAGGACATTTATGGTCATCCTGCTCCCAATGGACAAAAGGTTATTTTTAATTCAACAAAACAGACCAACACATCAACATTCAACAAGAACACAAAAGCACAACTCTAAACATAAACATAGCACAAAGAAGAATAAAAACAAAAAACTATAACGAGTGTTTGTTAAAAAAAAGTGTTTGTGATTAAAACATTCCCTGTCTTTGAACTGTTTGATTCTGATCTGCTGTTAGTGAATCAAAAGGTGGTTTTTACGGTTAGCTACACATTGTATTTTTCTAGTGTCATCAAATTTCAGGTGAGACTTTTCATGCAAAACATTTACTCTCTAAATGTTCACCGCTCTTTAGAGTATTTTTTCTGTGCTCATTTCAAAGTATCTACTGTGGGAGGACTGAAGGTTGTATGGTCTCATCTTATCGTGTGGGTTTAGCTCATTCATGTGTGTTCCATGACCTTTATTGACACGGCTACTGAAGCTAACACCAAAACTAAAACCAATTAAAAACACCCAGAGTGAATGAACATACAGTTACGGCTAAATCTTACACAAAGTCATACCACACAGATTTTCCCTTCCCTGTGTGGTCATAATGCTATGGCTGATTGGCTGAATTCGTGAGCAGTCCGATCCCATCGCATTGGCCACTCCGTCTGTAATTTCTCAAGATTAATGATACTGTCAGACACTTGTGAAGCGTCCTTAACTAAGATTCAGCAGCATAATGTCCACTCCATCTTTGTTTCATTTCTTCCCATTCAAAACACATTCCAATCAGTATTAGGCCATCTTGAGGCCCTCCTTGTTCTGGTGACTGCGTTGCCATTGTGCTAGTGTTGGATCGGAGAGTGTTTGTGTCAGACAGATGGAATAAGCACACTGCTGCTCAGACCCACACATGCGCCGAGATTTCACGGCCTGCGCTGACATTCAGTCATTCATTACGGAGTGGATTAATGTGCCAGAGTTGCAGTTTCCCCTTAAAAACAGATGTCGCCGGAACATCTAATTAAGCAACACACCGAATCATTGCCTCTCGGTCATCTCAGCCATCTTGGAGCTGCACTGCTTGCATAAGTCTGTGTGGGGCTGCATGCAAACTCACAGATAAAGGCACAAGAAGAAGCTGCAGAGACTCGAACAGGAGTCGAGTCAATGGAGAAGACATGTCTATTTTAGGACGACACTATTTGTATAATAGGTGAAAAAATATTGTTTGATAATATCTATAAGCAGTATTGCCTGGTATCAATGGGAAAGGGGGGCGATAAAGGCAAATCGCTGAGCTATTTTAAGTCTTTTTGATATTTTGTAATATTCATTCGTTCATTTTTAACCCCTTTATTAGTACATTTCTGGGTTTTGGGGGGTTGGCAATGAGAACTGCCACCCAATGCACATAGCACCAGTCCCTCGCTGATCCTCTGCAGGTGGTGAGTCCACAGGAAGATGGCTGCTCCGTCAGCGGTGACAGCCTTGGTCTTTCATCTTTCAGTGGTGGCTTCAGGCAACGTGGGGTTAAATG